TAAAAAAAAAAAAAAAAAAAAGCTGTATATAGTAGAATGAAAAGTGTGCCACAAAAAAAAAAAAATAAATAAGTACATAAACAACATGCACATGCAGAACGTGTAACGACCCAATGTGGCACATATATGTGGGTGAAAACGTGTAACTATAATTATGTTTGTTCAAAAAACGGATATAAGATAATTTACGCCAAGAAGGTTGAACATTTTTAGGAATGAAAAGTAACGTTTCACCACGCTCTATGGCTTCTAAACTCTGGAAGAGAATCCTACGTGTGGAAGAAAAAGTTGGCCTTTATTTATTTGCGACCTACTTCTCAACTCCCCGCTGGCTCGTTTTTTCAAGTGGTTGATTGCGCATGTTGTAGAGGTACATATGCAAATATATGAATATTTGCACTTCCGAATTTTTTACACATCCGAGTAGGTGTGTATCTGATTTTATTTTTTGCTCACCGGTAAATAGAGCGCCTCCGTGACACTAGAAACTTTTTACATTTTGAGAAACGTGTATATTCTGACGCATGTATTATGTGTGTACATTATATAGAAGCACATGTGTACGCGTGCGCGCGTATAAAAAAATTGAAAAGAAAAAAGTGAAAAATAAAAGTGGCCATCCTGCATTTATTTTCGCGACCCACAAACTGAGCACACAAAAGGTTAGAGAAATAAAGTGGCATGTTTTAACTTCAGGAAAGGCTTGGTATTAGGGGCTAACATATTTCGCAAAAAATTTAACAACGAGCTTACCATCAGGTATTATTTTTTTTTACTTACAATTATATATCTGCCACTTTAACATCACGAATGCGTGAGCCTTTCCCACCGTGTGGGCTGCTCTTATAACCACATATGTATTTGCATATATGCACACACAAAAGTGACCCCCCCCACTCCGGGTTTGTAATCTGCCGTAAGCAACACAATCAGGGATAGAGAAAAACAGCGTTGCCTTTAAATGGGCAGCTATATTTGTACCCCATTTGGACTATCTATAGAACGAAGTTCGCGTTTTTCTTAAAATGGACTGCTCAAAGGCCTAAGAACAGTTCATAAATAGGTAGCTCTATTTTTCAAATATTTTCAAAATGCAACTAGCGTTTAGTCAAAAGGGAATGTATAATTTAAACAAATGTATTTTTTTACTTTTTCACAAATGCTTGGTTGATTCATGGACTCATTCTTTTTGCATGTGACTATTTTCACTGCTGATAAAGTGAGGACAGCTATTTTAAAGGGAAAACGGAAAAAAATAAAACATTTGAATGGGGAAAAGGAAAAAAAAACAAAAAAAATTGTTTACAGGAATCTCATTTTACACTCTTTTTGTCCTCAAATTACTGTCTTGTGAAAAAAAATTGTCGAACAATTCTGAAAGGATGGGGCGACTTCATTCGGTGAACTCCTTTTTTTTTTTTGGCGTATGAGTAAAAAGTTTGCATGTAGGTGAAACTTTCCTTCTGATGCATTTTGTTCCTTAATTTGCGAATTTATCCCTTAAAGGGGTTTAAATTTATGTGGAGACCCGGATTCCGTTTAATCTCCCCTCCCTCTTCCCATGTGTGCAATCTCTCAGTTGCTTCTTTAGCAGCGGCCGAAATAGGAATGGAGAACTTCTTCGAATTCGTTTGTTTTTTTTTTTTTAAAGCAGCTGTAAATATATACACATATAAATATATATGTTTTTTTACTCCTTAGCATGTTCATACATTTGGTTATAAAAGCGCTCAGTGAGCTTTCTCAAATGTGCATGCATAATCGGAGCTGTTGCAAATATAGAGGTGGGTTTGAGAAACCATCTCTCGCAAACTCCGCAGATTAAGTAATGGTTGCTGTTAAAAACAGGAGAAAATTAAAACCAGACCAACGCTTTAACCATATGCACGACATCCACTTTTTCCTTCCCCATAATATGTACGTAATTATGCAATTTTTGTCCTGTTACGCGTTCAACATCATGTTTCACCATGCAGATAATTCATTCCATTTAACTTATTTCCTTTTAACTGGTAAGCATTGTCCCACTGAACTGTCTTACATACACACACATTTATATGTAACATATTTTTATATGTGTACAATTTTTCCCTTAAAAATACACGAAACAAAAATTCCTCGAGGAGGAAAAAACAGTCCAAATTAAAGACATACAGTTTGCTTATCGTTAAAATATTACCAAGTGTTAAAAAAATGGAATTCCTCACTTCCCTTTTGTTCCTTTTAATGGCTCTGCAATGTGCGCTGTCATTCGAAGACAGTAAGACACTGTCATGTGCATAATAAATGGCTAACAGATTTGTTCGCACTCTACAAAAAAAAAAAAAAAAAAAAATGCATCATTTTGACACGAAATGTGAGTTTTTATGGCTGAACGGATTTATTCGTTTATTTATTCGTTTATTTATTTGTTTATTTTATTTTATTTATTTTTTTTTTTCAGGAGACATACTCTCACACGTGAATAAGTTTTCCGTGAATGAGTATATTCCAAAGGATGGCAAGGCGGACCATGGGAAGCTCCAGGTGGGGAATCTTGCACACTGGAAATAGCACAACAGAAATATGCAAGCGGCAAAAATATGAACAACCCGATTTGCCCCTTTCCCCATTTTTAGGCCACAGAATACTTTGAAAAAGTCGCTGCAGACTTCAGTGATGACATAAATGCAGCCAAGGAAGCTTTACAAAATATGTTCCTTGATGTGGAGGCTTCCTCTGAGGAGTCGTCCGACGACGTGGCGCAAATGTGAGTTACTAAAGATGAGGAGAGCATTCTTTTTGTCCTGTCGTCTCCACACAGCATTGCTTTGCCTGGGTGCCCACGTATACATATATGTACATAAATACATGTGTGTACAAAAAAATGCTCATATAATGCAAAACTGTACGCCTTTCCCCATGTCCCCATTTTTTTTTTTTTTTTTTTTTT